GAAAGAGCATCCAAGGTTTCAAGTGTCACTCTGCCCCGGGACAGGGCCAGCATTAAGTGGAGGCCCAAACAGTACAAGGGACCTACACAAGTCCAAACAAGTAGACCACTGACATGAGCAGCCTAGCACCAGGGCACAGAAACTCACAGCCTGGCTCATAAGAAACAGATCATATGTTCATATAATATCTGCTAATATGGCTAAAGCAACAATGGGCAGAATAACTCTTTTAATAATCAAGGCAAAATATATTTTGAAACCAGTCTAAATAAGGAGATGCTTGATCTACTTTGTCATCTTTCACAGGGACAGTGGCAGGTGCCAGAAATATACCCAAAGATGCTTACTGGAAGGGGGCCCTGCATATCAAGTAAAACCTCCCCACCAAAGTTCCCTTTGAAGAAGGTTTCTGTTTCCATTACTCATGTGGAAAATACATCTCCTTCTCAGTGACTTCTAGTATCACTTCACTGTATTACTGGTCAGTAACAAGGGCTTGGATGTGGACCAGGAGGAGTTTCTCTAAGCCTGTTTAACTGACAATGTCAGAACTGGGGAGTGGGAGACGAGCAGTAAGAAATTTAGTTTTTTCCTTTTCTTTTTCCAATTTGGGCTTAACCGGACCAAACCTGTTCATTCATATTACATGCTATCCCAAAAAGATTAACACAACAAAGCCTTTCCTGTAAAGATACCTCTGGTTGTTTATAAACAATTACCAATGTTAGGAGGAAAAGACCCAGTTGTACTTGCCCGTACTTCTAGGCTGGGTGTCCAGGCTATTAAAGATACATCTGACGCTTGTTTGCCTAGATTTTGAAGAAGCACTTCTCATACTCAGAGTAAATGGCTTTCTGAGCCTAAGATTCTTCATTTGTAAAATAAGTATAATACCAATCTCACTGGATTACTAAGAAAACTAAACGAGACAGCATGTTTAAAGAGCCTAATAAGGCCTCGCCCATATTGCTATTGCTAACAATAATGCTAGTGTTGCTCTTTTCTCACAGGCCAAGGGAACACACCAAAGCTGGATTCCAGGATCTAGTAAGTGAGACTTCTGAGATCCAGGAGGCAGAGACACTGGGTCCTGCAGTTGTGGTGGGCCAAGAGGGCAACATGGAAGACTGAAGGAGCTGACAACTACAACTGAGTGCGAGAGGGATCAGCAGTTGGTACCTTTTCAGGATGACTAATGCTTGATCAAAGAGCCTGGTAAAGGGAAAGAACACTGGGCTTAGGGTCAAGGACCTAGATTTATATCTTAGCTCCATCAGTCACCTGTGGGACTGCGGGCAAGTCTTAAATTAACCTCTGGAAGTAAATGTCTTCATCTGCAAAATGGAGATGTTGATTTTACAAGGTTTTAGGGGTCGTTTTATTTGTGGATTAAAAAATATAGTACATTTAGTACAACCCAAAATTTCACAGTTATAAACTATTAAAACGTCAAAAAAATATATATATACACTACATTTAAAAGCATGGTAGGGCCGGCCCCATGGCTTAGCAGTTAAGGGCACGCGCTCCGCTACTGGCGGCCCGGCTTCGGATCCCGGGCATGCACCGACGCACCGGTTCTCCGGCCATGCTGAGGCAGCGTCCCACATACAGCAACTAGAAGGATGTGCAACTATGACATACAACTATCTACTGGGGCTTTGGGGAAAAAAAGGAGGAGGATTGGCAATAGATGTTAGCTCAGAGCCGGTCTTCCTCAACAAAAAAAAGAGGAGGATTAGCATGGATGTTAGCTCAGGGCTGATCTTCATACATACATACATGAATGAATGAATAAATAAATAAATAAATAAAAGCATGGTAGACACAACATTTTTTCCCTACATTACCTTGGGGTTCCAAGAAATACCAAGAGCAAGCTCCCAAGGTCTACAAGAGAAAACCACTGAGGAAGTCCCCTGGGTTCAGCAGGAACCACTGAAACTAACTCAGCAGTGAGCCACAAGAAGCTTTCTGTGTGTAAGAACTAAACAAATCCATGCTTTGAATTCTGATGAAATTCAAAAGATTAATTCTGTGAATCCAGTGAAGCACAGATCATAAAAGCTTCTACAGCAGCAAAAGATTCAAAGCACAGAAGACACAGAGAAAGATGCCTACACAGGTGACTAGGAGACAAGAGCAAGTCCTATAATGGGACAGTGGAAATGACAAGGAAAGAATAAACGCACACACTGCCACGGCAGCACATTGAAGCCTCCCTGTACCTAACTAATATTACAGTGACATCTACAGGAGGGAAATGACTATAATAAAAGGGAAAAGTTGTCCCAATATGGAAGAGAGAGTTTGAGTTCCAATGCCTAAAAGAAACAAGGTTCCCGGGCAAGAGGAAAAAAATACTTAGAAAAAACGTTTACAAGATTTACTTTATGATGAGGATTATCTAGATTAGAAGTCCATAAAAGGATTCTAGATCAAGAATAATCTATTCTGAAGCAGGCTAGAATGAGAGTGAACAGACCAATGAAAATCAACATGTCCAAATCTGGTCTCAACATTTGTTCTGTGTCCCTGAGTTCCTTCCTTACAATAGTCAGGAATACAAATACCAGCAATCTGGTTTGCATGCCAACACACCACTATCCTGGGTTTATGGCTGATTATAATAATCAGACATGATCTTTTTTTTCCTCGAGCTCAAAATTTGGTCTTAGAATTCTTGTCCACACAGCTCTCTAGGCTGCCATCACCAGCTGACTAGAATTTACACCGGAGAGAAAACCCACCTGAATTGCCTGGTTTAGACCTACATTATTTATATACTTGCAATAAAGTATTTACTTAGCCCTGGACAAAAGCAGTCAAAAGGAGAAAACTGTCCTGGAGTGAGAGGTGAGGGATAAACAGAGCTGTCTGAATCATTACTATTAGGAGAAAAAAAGGAGATAAAGCTAACCAGAGGAACAAGTGGAAACCACCAATTTCTATATTAATTGCCAAACAGGAAATTTACTTATCACTGGTCTGATGTATAACCACAGAGTCTAACAGATTGTGACCAGGAAGGAAGGCTCAGCAAAGAAAACTTAGAAAGATAGCAAAATATAGAGCAAAATCTTTCCTATTTTCCATTCAGAGATAAGTAATTAACGTTTCTTCATTTCAAGTAGGTATTTTAAAATTCTAAGCAAATATTTATGAATACAAGATATGTTACAGTTGTCAGACATTTAACAAATAAGATAAAAAACAAAGAGCAACTTAATTAAAAAAAAAAAAACTTCTATGAGGTAGAAGTTGTACTTGTACTTCTACAAGCACACCAGAGTGCCACAAATAGTCTTGTGATTAGCATAACATGAAGATGAGAAAAATAATGTTGTAGAAGTATATTCATTAACATAAAAAGGTGCTCATGACATAATTAAGTTTAAAATATGGGTTACAAAAGAGAATATTCACTATGATTCAGTCTTCCTGTGTTTTAAATAGTGTGAATCCACAGAAACGAAACCATTAGTTAATATTTTGGTATAATCTGTTGGCAGTGGGATTTTGAACGATTTTTTTTATTTATTTTTTTCTTTTTGTTCCTCTGTCTTCTCTAACTTAACTGTAACAAAGTGATATCTGAGAAATTAATTTTTTTCTAGTAAAAATCCACTGCAATCAGTAATTTGCTTTTTAGTTAACATATAACCATCAGAAAGAAACAGGGAACAAATGCCAGTCACTGTAGAAACTGTGTGCTGTTCAGATTTACCTCTCCAGCCCCACCCAGATGCTTCCACATGGCTGGATAAGTAGAAGCCCAATCTGAGGACCTGAGAACCATTACTATGTCTCACCACCTCCCCCGCCCAACCCCTCACAACTCATTAGAAACTTGTATCTTTAGCAAACTGTTTCTGGATAAAGGCCACTTGCAACCAGCATACTTCAAAAATAATCTTTAAAAGAACATGGTGTATTCAACATTGTACTAGAAGTTACAAGCAGAGCAATCAGACAAGAAAAAGAAATAAAAGGCATCCAAATTGGAAAGGAAGAAGTAAAACTATCTCTATTCGCAGATGACATGATCTTATATATACAAAATCCTAAAGAATCCACAAAAATTATTAAAGCTAACAAATAAATTCAGCAAAGCTGCAGAATATAAGATCAACAGGGGTAAACATTCATGACCTTGGATTTGGCAGTAGTTTGTTAGGATACCAAAAACACAAGCAACAAAAAATTGGAAAATGCACAAATATGTGAAAATCAAAAAAAAACACTTCTGACAAACCAATGCATCAAAGAAAAAATCAAAAGAGAAATAAAACAGTATCTTGACCAAAGGAAAATGGAAACACAACATATCAAAATTTAGAGGATGCAAAAGCAGTTTATAAGAGCCCCAAGAAGGCAGTTTATAGCGATAAACACCTACATTAGGAAAAAAGAAAGATCTAAATAAATAACCTAACTTTACAGTTGGTTGCTTAATGGGTACAGGGTTTCCTTTTGGGGTGATAAAAATGTCTTGAACTAGAGGAAGTACTGGTTGCACAACACTGTGAATGTATTAAATGCCACTTTAAAATGGATAATGGTAAATTTTATGTTACAGTCATGCATCACTTAACGATGGGGATATGTTCTGAGAAATGCATTGTTAGGGTATTTCGTCACAGTGCGAACATCATAGAGTGTACTTACACAAACCTAGATGGCATAGCCTACTATACACCTAGGCTACGTGGTACTAATCTTATGAGATCACCGTCATATATGTGGTCCATTGTTGACGAAAACATCATTATGTGGTGCATGACTGTATATGAATTATACTTCAATAAAAAAAATCCAAAAATGAGGAGGTGAGACATGGTCTAATAACCTAAAATATTTTAAACGAATTTATTTTCTGTTGAGAAAACACCACAGGTTTTTAAACAGATTTAAAACCATTTCATCATAGCATGTTTTTTTAATAAAGCTACCCTCCCAAATACTCAAGAGTAATACTAATAGAATGTTCTATTACTTACCAGCAGACTCTTTTCCATTCTGTTTTTCATAGAGGGTGCCCACAGACATCAGGAAAACAATAACCAGGAATACTGGAATTCTCCATGAGCCAGCTAGGGATGCTGCAAATTATTAAGAGTTAACATTTTTAGTGAAATAAAAACTCAGCACTTGTCTTTAAAAGACTCAGCTTAGTAGACGGACAGAACAATCTGGCGTATATATTAATAACAAAATTGTTTTATAGGGAAAAATGTATTAAAAAAAAAAAGGCCATCAGACACATGAAACCTTAATTCAGGGCTTCTCTTAGTAGGCCCAGCCCTTCTCTCAGAAGTCCCTTGTCTAAAGGATTGGGCACATGCCAGACTGTCTTTAACGGGCTTGTATCACCCGAGGAATCAAGTTCATTCTAAAGCACATCCAGGGTTTAAGACCATCTGGAACTCAAACTCCCCACTTAACCCCGGAATTACCTGCACTAGGCATAGATCCTCAAGTCATGGAGCTGACCTGATTTCCCAAAACTACCACTGGGTGTGAACTCTATCTCTTAAGAAAGGATGAAATGGCCCAAAAGAGCACTGCAAAAAACTTCAATGTATCTTCCTTAATGTACAGTGCAAAAATGCTAACAAGGGGCCAGGGATCAGGTCCCTACTTACAGCTATTTGCATTTCCCTGAGTTGGTCTAGAGCCTCATGGACATACCTGTCTGCCTCCCTCTGCCTTCCCCAAATGCAAAATGAGTCACATCAGACATTAGGGGCTCTCGTTGATAAACTCCTCTAGCATTACCAGTCAGCAGAGCTAGAGAGTGTTGCTTTGTTCAACATAGACTCTAAGCAGAGAGACATTTTCAATCAACTCTGTTATTTTATTTTTAACAAAAAGTAGCTCTAAAAACTACTTTAAATGGGCTATGTACTGCTCTAGTTACTGAATTTTGTTTTTTAGCTAGAACTTAATGTTTCCATAGACTTAAGACTTAGAGACAAAACAGTCCCTGAAAAAACACCCTACAGCATCCTAGCAGCCACTCAGCTAACAGTGCAGAGTCTGAAATAATAGGGACTCATTTACTTAGCAGCTCTGACACTGATCGTCCTTGTACTGAACGGAGATTTCTCCCTCTGAAGCTACTCCTTGCTCTGACATCTCTCCCTCACGGTTACAGAGATCCGTTTAAACCACTCTTTCACGGGACCATCCTTCAAATACTTGAAAGAGGCTTCCATATTTTA